GTGCTCATCCATGAAGCTTTAGCTTCTCCATGAATGCTAATAGAAAACAATGGTTACTACCCCATAAGAGAGAGAGAGAGAGAGAGAGAGAGAGAGAGAGAGAGAGAGAGAGAGAGAGAGAGAGAGAGAGAGAGCTATCTATTGGCATGTATGAAACAGAAAGTAAGGGTGATTCCTTTAGACCTTTTCAGTGTTCAAATTTGAGGTTGTTCATTTGCAACTTCTGTTCATGTTCTCACTTTATAGGAGTAAGCCTAAGCTTTTCATCGACAAAAGTCTCAATGAAATCATGTCATTTCTCCATTACCATTAGAGTAATCACAAAGGTAAACACAAGCTTTGACAGATCGGCATTGTATGCAGATTACAGTAAGCCCCCAAAGGCTTGCAGTCTATACATTTCAACAACTACCGAAGCCAATCCCCCCTCCTTTAACCTCATCCGATATGGCTTCTCCGGAACGCAACTCTGCAGCTGTTTGTTGGACAAGTCTTCAGTTGTGCAGTAACATCGAGTTATAGAAGATGACGTTAATGCACCCACCATCGAACAACATCAACAGTTTCATGGCAGTGACATGCTGCTTCAAGTGAACACAGGACAAGATTCCCACTTGAGCATTGAATCAGAGCCGTGGAGTAGGTTAAAGCACTCTATCGACTCGATAAAACTCGCTGTTGGCAAATGATGAATGTTTACAAATAATGACTTTCTTGACTGGAAGGTGATTCATTTCCCTCCAATCTGATCATCACAAACTAGATAATGTTGGAACCATAAAAAAAAAAAATCAATGATGCAACTCTGGTGATCTTAATAGTTTTTGGGATCTCGGAAGTACGAGGCAACAAGGTGTATCAGCAACAGGTGATACTACTATAACTTCAAACATTGTCCCCACAATTGAAAGGTTCAATCGGTGGAGTGATCCCAAACAGTAATCATCACAGAAACATATAATTAGCAGCGATATGTAAAACACATGCTTCCAGATGAGATATTCTGATTGAGGTGCCCAAAAATGCATGAGATATAGCTCTATCAACTTTGTGGAGAAGACTGCTCGGTGTCGTCAGGGCTTGGTGTCCTTGCTCTTGCTGCGACCATGTACTTTAGCAGAGAACCATTGAAGTTGTAGCATAGTCCTCGAGGCACTGGAATTTCACTTTTAGAGTATCACCCAGAAGATGGGAAATCTATGCAGCATCCGTGAAAATTGGCTTGGACCGCTTGTTTGCTGTTATTGACATTGACCTGAGAATAAAGAAAAAACAAGAGAAAGATGTCAAGCAACTGGAAATATAATTACTGTAGAAAGCGAGGCACTATTGCAGAGGTTACATTCGGCAAGCTGGAGGTGAGAACTAGAAGGAGACATTACTAGTGATCATGACTTTTTCTATTTAGAAAAAAGAAGTATGAATCATGAACCCATTAAAAGTTGCAGTACACTTTCAATGGTTTTACATTAGCAAAGTAAACATGCATCAGGCGTCCGCAAGATTCCATGATTAAGTTTCCAGCAATTAGAAGATTCAAGAAAATTTTGTAAATGGAACGGCCGTCCAAACCAAGGATCACCGTTTTGGGTACCGGACCCATTTTGGTGATCTGGTTGGACCGAAACATACCAGTCAGTGCCGATGTATCATCTGTCGATACACTAGTAGATACTGGCAATTTGGAGAGGAAGAAAAAGGAGAAGAGGAAGGATAGACCGTGGAGGAAGAGGAAGAAAGTATGAAGAGGAAGGAAGAAGGAAGCAAAGAAAAAAGGAAAGACACTGGAGGAAAAAAAAAGAAGAGGAAGAATAGGAGATAGTAATAAATGGCAGCAGCGGGAATGGCAGCGGCAGCGAAATGACGTTGCAAGAAGACGGCAGCGGCGAGAAGAAGGCTCGCAAAGCAGCAGCAGCGACAGCAGCATTGCGAGAAGGTGACTACCATTGGCGAGCCCCAGTTGCTATTTTAGGTTTTTTTTTCTTTTTTAATACTGAGTTGGACGGCCCATCACTGTTCTCGGTTTTTTTATTTTTTCCTGATTTGGACAAGACTGCTCGAAACGGGGGTCGTCCACGTCTTGATCCATGCCCAGACCGGCTCATACTGCCCATTTTGTACCCGTTTCAGATGGTATGGCAGTCCTTGGTCCAAACCATCCAAGACTTCATTTAATAAAACTTGTAAGGATTTCAAACATTAGAATTAGTTGGGATAACAAAAAGAAATTAAGCAAATCTCTAAAACTAGCTGACAAACTGAAGAAAATAATCATGTTTCTTGGTGTAATACTCTAGGCAAACCGAGAACCAACTACATGTATGGTATCCACAGACCAATAAAATCATTGAACAGTCAATTAATAAATATTTAACAACTGTCTTTTCCTGTTATGACTTTGTTCTTGTACACATTATTGACTGTTGGAAAATCATCTAATAAAAAACCATATACTCATTTACTTTACCATTGAAATTCTTTTTATTATACATCATATTTTCTAAATGTCTTAAGAACTATCATTATTTCTTCCACTTTTAAAAAGTTCTTCGGCAAAAGAAAGTGCATATTTAGGCACTCTAACCAAAAAAATGAAAAAAATGAAAAAAAAAAAAACTCACCCTGGTAAACTAGAGCGTTTTTGAGTGAATTGACCAAGCATGGACCTCAAAGTTCCAAGAGCTTGTTCAGCAGCCTGTAGAAAAGATGCAAAGTCAAGATTGAACTAGATTTTATTGAGTTTAAACAAGAGCTACATCAGTATCTTAAGTGTGCACTGAAGACCATGTTGCACTTGGTCAATTTGTCTCAGGAGTACCACTTGCAAAAGAGGAAGATAAAACAAGATCTGCTAGAAGCAACAACAAAAGAACCACTCTTGGAAAAATTAAGGTTTTAAGTCATAGACTGAGAAAATTACAGAAACGCCTTTTATTGATCATGTAGAAAATTGGAATCAACAGAACAATGTCTAATTTGGCTAATCAACAGAAAAAAAGTCCAAATCTGAACAAATTGACCTTCTGTTCTGAATTTCAACCCAAATCTAGGGCTGCAAGTGGAGGGATTTAGCTTCAGCGAACCCATAACCATGGTATGCAATTTTGAATAGTACTGTCCGCTACTGGATGGAGCGTGCTACAGTGCTACAGTAAGACAGTGTAGTACTGTTATAGTTCTACAATAAGAGGAAAAATATTTAAAACCACTCGGTACGCCCTGGTGTACCGAACAGTACATGGTACCGTACCGTACCGAGCCAACCTCTAAACACCGATACGGTACGATATTGCATACCTTGCCCATAACCAATCCAGTTTCCAGCAGATTTTAGTTCAGGTATTATTGACATGGATTAAAACCAACATAGAAACTCATCCTGACTCTAATTCAAATCACACTCAATTTCAAGTGTTTA